GGGGGGGGGGCTGGTCTGAGACTTAAAACAACAATAACATCCTCCACGTTGGCCTGCTTCTTATTACCCGTGTGCCAGAACCTAACACGTCCGTGATAAAATCCTGCACCCCGTCAGAGGCCCCACCCTGCCCCGTCCTGGGCACCCACTGCTGTGGGGCACGGAGCACCCTGCCCACAAGGGCAGGAAGTGCTAATAGTAACAACACCACACGGCGGGGACTTCCCGAGCACTGTCCGTACATTACTTCATGAACTCCATTTTCCAGGTCAGGAAACTGAGGCCCAAAGAGGCAAAGCCATTTGCCTAGGGTAGCAGAGGGCTGCTGCAATGTGGCACCACTGTGGCTGTGTGACACGGTGGTTCCGGCCCAGCCTGAGGGAGACCAGCCCCTGGGAGTCCCACGTTCCCCCCCGGGGCAAACTTAGAGAAAAGAGCATTCACAACACCACAGCTCAGCGACGTGCAGAAGTGTCCAGCTCAGGCCCCTGTCCACCCTGGAGTATCAAAGGCCTCCTGAGGCCGTCTCACGTCCTTCCACTCGGCCACACAAGACAAGTCCACTTGCTCATGTAAAGCCACTGTTTTCTACGGGACACTCAGAAAAAGTCACATATGACCTGAGATACATTTAAGAGTCTTGACATTTGAAAGTCATCTTTCTACCAACTGAGTAACAGCCAGACACAGCAGTGGCCACAGGCCACGGAGCCCTCCCGCCCAGGCCCAGGCTCAGAGTGGCCACTGCTGCCTGCACACCGCAGGTGAACAGTGACCAACTGCTTCCAGGCTGGGCCTCCCTCCAGAACGGGCCCCACCACCCGCACCCACAGACCCACGCACAACCAAAGGCACCCCGCAGCCCTTTGTCCTCTCATTGGGTTGCCCCTGAGAGTCACCAGGGCCTCGGGACTTCTGTAACGCTCCTGCACCACACTGGACATGGTGTCTCTGCAGCTGGTAACTGGACAGCTAGAGGCGGGACAACGGGCCTTACACAGGAGGAGAGGTTGGACTACAGGCCACTCAACTACACCGCAGCCACGAAGCACCCCTGCAGGGTCCTGCAGCACAGACGAGAGGCAGTCTCCAGACGGCCACCATGAAGTCCTCACACACGCGACAGGCCCAGCTGTCCTCCGCCAGAGCAAACGCACCTCCGCCCCACCAGCCCCTGCCGACCTCATCCCGGCGCCGCTCACCTGCCGTCACAGTGTCAACGTCCTTGGCCGCCAGCTCTTCCACATCTGACCGCTTTCTCAGCTCAAACCTGCGGGACAGGCCTTCCCGGGGTTTCCACAATTCCTGGATCAGGAGGGGCTTCTCACTGTCCCCGAACACGCGGAAGCACTGAGCCTGCCAGGGCCGCCCGGAGTCGCCCGCCTGGCCCACCACATCACACAGGACGTACTGGCTGGCGCACTCGGGACTCAGGGAGTAGCGCTCCAGGGCCTCTTTCACCAGCTCCTGGGCGCTGGACGTGCAGGTGGCCAGGACGCTCTTGTAGTGGGTGCCTGTGCAGACACTGTCCCCGAACACCTTCAGGACCCCGGGGGCTGAGAGCTGGGTGGAGAGCTCCGCGGGGTCGTCACTGGCACCCAGGTTGGCGAAGGTAGTGTCCAGGTCACGGTACTTGTAGCTCAGCGTCCGGGACAACACACTGGATAGCAGCTGGCCCTGCCGCCTCAACTTGCTCTTAGTGGGTGGAGACATGATGAAGTGGGTCCCATAGAACATGGTGGGCCCGTCTTCATGGGTGGGGACTTCGGGCTCAGCCAGTGGCAGGGAAACGGTTGTGTCCTGGGAGGAGACACAGGTGGGTCAGCACTGACCCTCAGGAGCAGCGAAAGCAAACCAGGCTCATGTGAACTGTGACAGACTTACCAGCCATCTGGGCCCAGCACAGCAGCAGACATGCCACCCTCGGCAAAGTCCCCACAGTGGGGACCCCAGGGGACAACACAAGTGTGCATGGCTGAGGTGCCCTTCAAGGAAAGCCACTACTAGGAAGCAGGATGCGGTCACCTACAGGAAGACATGCTCTGCTGTGCAGTTCCCACGACTGGTAAGTGCTGGGCTCACACATACCATGGGCACAACCAGGAAACAGTGGTGGCCATGGCTACAGGCTATATGTGCAGGGCGGAGTGGCCCGTCTCCCTGAGGCAGCCCTCCACCCACCACATCACACCCAACGAGAAGTTGTAAACCATGGAGAGTGGGAAATGCCTGATCTCCCTAAAGCCAATCTCTCCTACGTCACAGCCTAGGACAAAACTCATAGCAAACACGAGTGAGACGGGGCGAGCGGGCGGTGACCGGTTCTGGCTTGGAGGAGACACGTCCCTGGGACAGCAGCGCTAGAATGTCCATATGACCGCAGTGGACACAAAAGGGCTCTTCCCAAACCCAGGAGGCATGACTGGAATGTGTGCATTCCACCCACCGTCCAGCCTGGTATTCGGGCCCCGTCCGGGCCACAAAGGCTATCTTGATGGGGAAATGAGGAAACAGCTCCTGGAAGCTTAGCGTGTCATACAATCGTCATTCTAGTGCACTTAGCACTCCAAGGGCCTCAGTTCTGAAGAGACAGTCCTTTGACTCCCCGGGGCCCTGACAGATGGCAGAAGGAGCCGTCTCTACCCATAAACATGAAAACTGCACCACGTCTGCGAGGACTGAGAACCACACGTCACCTAACGTACTCATTTCTGTGCTCGTGTCCTCACTAGAGACAAGAGCACAGACCAAATAAGAAAAGCTCATTTTCTAGAAGCCTCTGGAAACTGTGCGCAGGTCCCAGTAAGGACCTGGCAGCACCAGGCACCTATGACAAACGTCAGCACTAGACTCAGCTAAAGTCAACACCCTCAGTCCCCACTCACTCACAGCTCCATGGGCAGTGGAAGAGGCTTTGGGGTGGGTGGGGCCACCCCTTGCTCTGACAGCCTGTTGCTCACACTTGGCCCCGGCAGAGCTTTCACTGTGGACCCGCTTTCTGAAGACTCAGCTGAAAGCGGCAGGTATCCTGAGCAAAAGGAGCACACGAGGCTCCCTGGCCTCGAGTGAGTGAGGCTGTACAGGAATGAGTATGTCACAGGCTTCACCTCTCCTCCCCTGAACAATGTATGACAAGTCCCCTTGTCAAATCCTAGGGAGGCCGGAGCTGGCGAAGGCCTCCCCGAGTGCGCCTGTCAAAGGCTTCGGTTAAATTTACAGCGGAGCATTTCAGAGCGTGCGCGGGACATGTGCATGGCTCTGCAACCACATCGGCAGCTCCAAACCACCTTCTGAAAGGCACAAGCCCGCTTCCTCTGCTGCTGCCAGCACGTGCCTCCAGGATGCCCCTGGCTCAGAGGACCTGACCCCTCCACAAACACTGCCCTTACCCGGCTCCCTCCTCCAAGCAGAGCCCCAGGGTCCAGACACAAACCCAAAGTAGCAGGCTGGTGGAAAGCTCAGAAGCCTCTGCCTTTCGAGATGGTGTCTGAATATAAATGTAAATGCGGCACTGAAAACTGCAGAAACCGTGTCTGGGCAGAGAAAGCCTGCATCACAGAAAAACAGTGAAGTAAACACAGGGGCCTAAAAGGCCCCACATACAACGGGGAAGCGAACTGCTGTTTTGCACCGGGGTGGATCTCGGTTCTGTAACGTCTAAAGCTAATACAATTCTGCTTTAATAAAAGAGAAAGAATTACAGATACATCACTGCTAGTCCACTCCCAGCACTGTGGGAGCGAGTGCCCCTCCCTCCTTTCCAGCAGTCCCCAGCGCTGGACTCCAGCAAAGCCAAGAAGCAGAAAACGTCGGGGAGAACGTGGCTCGAAGCCCTCCAGTAATTCCTTCTTAAGCCCCAAGAAGTCCCAGTAAACACAGACCCTGATCTGTTTTATCCGGAAGCTTTATTCTTCCGGCCCTTCTCTCTCTGGCCATTTTCAGAGAGGAACCACGGACGGTCACTTGTTCACTTGTCACCTTCCTTCCCAATCACCGCACGCCGAGTACAGCCTGTGTGTCGCGATGGGACAGGCTGGCGTTTAGAGAGGACAAGAGTGCAGGGGTATCCCACAGAGCAGGGCTCGCCTGAGCAACCACAGCGGGGCTTGGGGAGGCCTGACCTGCCTTTTCCTTTCCTGCCCGGCTCTCGCACGAATATTTGGGGGAAACACTGGCCGAGGCTGCAGGACGCTGGCCGTGGCCTCTCTCAGGGAGTGTTTTCGTCTGGCCCTCACGGAAGAGTCCAAGTTCTGATGCAAACAAGCTCGAGTCACACCAGCGGGTGCCGTGAGCGAGGTCAGGGCGAGGCTGCCCAGATGGGTGGGGGCGGTGGCCGTCTAGGGCCGCAATGTGGAATCCATTAGGGCTCCCACCAGGGCCGGCCGGGAGGGGGGCGGCCGGGCAGGCTCTGCGTTAGCCATAAACCCTACCCAGCGCGACGCTTTGAAACACAGCATCACTGAGTCGGACGTAGCTGCGGCTCGCTGGCCTCCGGAGAGGGGACCGGCTTTCTCCGCCAGTGGGACCAGGGGCTGGCTCCTGTCTGGAATGCACGGGAGGTGGCCCGTGCTAAGCGGGGACACCTGTAACCCGGGCACCTGGAGAGTGCTTGAGGCCATTCAGGTGACCCAAGCACTAGGCGGGCGCTGCTGGGCTGCGGCTCCGCGGGGGGCCCCCGAGCGGCTCCCTGGGGGCACCGGCCCGTCCTCCCGCCCCGCAGCCCCAGCCCAGCA